TCACTTGGTAGCCCAGGCTGGCCTCGAACTCACAGAGATCCGCCTGGCTCTGCCTCCCGAGTGCTGGGATTAAAGGCGTGCGCCACCACCGCCCGGCCATAAGAGAGGCAATCGTAAAAGAATGTCAAGGTGGGATCCTACGAACCTGAATAGTCAGATACACCAAAGCATGAAGGCAAGCAAAACTTCGCTCAGTTCTAATTGGCTCAGCCTTAAAAATGTGACGCTTTAATTGCAGCATTCTCAGACTTTTTCCTGGAAGTCATTGTTGGAATGAGCTTAAACCTTTGCCTATAAGGTGGCTGCAGAGAAGAGACATGTGTCGTGCTTCAAACTGAGTCTGCCCACAGCAGAAATCAGTGAAAGAAAAGGAAGGAGGAGGAGGAGCACATAGAAGGAAAGGAGGAGAAGGGAAGGAAGGATAATGGAAGATAGATGATTGATATAGATAGATGATAGATAGATAGATAGATAGATAGATAGATAGATAGATAGATAGATAGATGATAGATAGATAATAAAACATAATTGATTGACAGATATCAGATATGCATAGATAGATGAGAGAGACAGATGATGAATAATTAAATTACAGGTAAATAGATAATAGACAAATAGATACATGGTAGATCGATGATACAGTTGATAGGTAAATGATTGATAGAAACATAGATCATAGCTATATACAGATAGACACTCAGAACAGAAAAGACTGGTATTAAGTGGGTTAAGAAGAGAAAATAAGTATTGTTATCTCTAAAGGAAAGTTCAGAATAAGTCTCAAATACATTCTCTCTGTTTCACAGTTTTGTTGGAAAAGTGTCCCCTTCTTTCCCAAAGAAATATTACATGGGGTCATCAAACAAGGGAGGGATAGATACCCTACAGGGAACTGCCTACAAAGGTTCGCAATTTAACAGCTTTATGTAATTTTTCGTTGAATTTTTATGCCATTGATTAGTCCTTTTTTTTTTTTTTACCTTTACTTATTTTATAAGAGTGAGAGTTGGGGAGGGGTGAGTATGCCACAGGGTGAGTGTTAAGGTCAGAGAACAATTTCCAGGAGGTTTCCACCTTCCACCATGTGAATTCCCGGGCTTAAACTTAGGTCCTCCACTCCATGTCCCTCCCCACACCAGCCAGCTCATAGGAGTGTAATTTGTGGCTCATTGACTTTTGGTTAGGATTGCAGTCCAGTGGAACTGTCTGAGCATCCCCACCTCCAATTATCAGGTGCACTGCCACCGGATCTTCACAAACACAGGCATCCTGTGACATCCAGATTAGTGTCCCCTGGCTGATGCAGTCACAGGAAGAGAATCATACCTTTGTTTTCTTGTTGAGATGACTCTTAGATCCACAAAAAAAAAAAAAAAAAAAAAAAAAAAAAAAAAAAA